AGCAGATCATCTAGTCCGACCCCCTGCCATGGCAGGAAAGAGTACTGGGGTCAAACGACCCCAGCAAGGTGTTCATCTAACCTCCTCTTAAAAACCTCCAGGGTAGGAGCCTGCACCACCTCTCTTGGAAGTTGGTTCCAGACCCTAGCTGCCCTGACCGTGAAATAGCACCTCCTGATGTCTAACCTAAAGAGCAATTATATTGAGAACTGGCCTAATCTGATGACAATTTGTGAACAAAATCATGACAAAATAGATGGAATTGCGATAGCCAAAGTTCTCAACATTGGCCTAAAGAGAAATATAGAACGTATCCTGACTATCCTGGAGCCTATTTCCATAGCCTTGAACAAAGGTTATATCAAACAACTAGAATGCATTTTTTGTAGAAAACAATGATTCAGTTGAAGCTTCCTGACCAGTAATTTAAATCAAGTCCACCCTGTTATTTACCAGTGAACTAAAGGATGTACAATGAAACATAGGGGCAAGGGCAGGACAGGCACTCCGCAGCTGGGGCGAAGCAGGGTATGGGATGGAGCCATGGGCAGCTCATTTAGAGGGGGCGAGGTGGGGCAGCTCCTGCTGCTGCACGTAGCCTGGGAAAGGTATGGGGGGTCATGTGCCACCCTGGATCTGTGTGTGGGGCAAAGGCGGGTTGCCACTGTGGGCTTAGGTCCAGGGGTGCACCAGCCTTTTCCCAGCAGGGGAGTCTGGGCTGGGGCTGTGCTCAGGCAGGGCAGGTGGCAGCGGTGCTGAGAGGGGGTGCTACAGGGTGGGCTACAGCCATCCTAAAATTTGCCTGGCCTGAATGCAGGCCTGGCCCAGCCCCAGCCCCCCTACCAGGAAGAGACTGGCCCTGAGCCTGCAGCAGGCAGCCTGCCCTCGCCCTGCTCACAGATCTGGGGGCCATATGCTCCCCATGCTGCCCCTGGAAGTGCAGGCAGCAGCGGAAGCTGCCCTCCCTCCCCGTGCTCCCTGGACGAGCCACCTGTAGCTCCATCCCATGCCCCACCCCACCCTGGCTGTGCAGCATCTGCTCCTGCCCCAGCCCCACTTCCTTACCATGGGGGCCTCAATCTGTTTCCTGCCCCCCCACCCCCTCCAGACACACATGCACGTGGCATTTATTGGTGATGCTATTGGAAGCATCAGCCAAAAAAAGCTGATTTGCTGATAATGCCAATTCTTCTTTTATTGGTACCTATATTATATGGACTAATAAAGGTCTACCGATACACTTTTTTTTTAAATGCAGCTTGCAATCATCTTGTGGGATTCATTGCCATAGGACAGGGGTTGTCAGCTGAGTGTACTTTCAAAGGCCCCAGGGGGTACACAGCAGTGGCACGGAGAAGCCGCTGGCACTTCTGGTTTTGCTTGTTGACCAGCCACCAGGGGACTTCCCGCTTCTCAGCTGGCCGACAGGGATACACCAACTAAAAAAGGTTGAAAACCCCAGCTCTAGGCTGTTGTAGAGGCTGATAATTTAATCAGGCCTCTTTTGCTGGGTAGTCAACATGAAAGGGCTGCAGCTCCTCAGTTAGGATCTTCATAGGCCTGTGAATTCTGCAAGCTACAGGAGGAGAGAGGCAGGGGATAGATCCGTCTGGATGCACATATACTATCTGTTTTCTGCCTTTGTAAAACACAGGATACTGGGCTAGATGAACTGGTGGTCTGCCCCAGTATGGCACTTTCCCCTTAAATGTAATATTAACCCCCAGCTTTAATGAAGTATTGTTCCATTCTGAAAAATGACTTGGTAAAAGTAGCATTATTTCCATATTTCCTTATTTAATTTGACGTCTCTGACATTTAAATGTTTACTTTTAAAGGTAAGAATGTTCTTTTCTGTTTGTTCTGCAAAACTTCAAGTGGAATCTAAGTATTCTAACAATGACTTCCATACCTGTTCAAAATGCTGCACTCAACTTAGTTACTCTTTTTGATGTTTAAGGGAGAACGGAACTGTACTTCCTTTCCTAAATCTGAATTTGCCCTGAAGTAAAAAGTAGCATAAACTTTTTTTTTTAAGCCAGAAAGCTGTGCACATGCCATATGGAATATTCTCCAAGAGCCAATCTGTAAAACTGTTATTTTTACTCGGACAGCTTTCTTACCATAACTGCTTGAAGTGATAGAGTATATAATGAAGTACATTGCTTTCTTTCAATTCTTGGCATTTTTGTATTACAACCTTATTTTCTGGCTTTCTTGTATATAGGAACACTGATCAAATCCACATATTACTTGCCCTGATCAAAAAGGGCCTTATTCTGTCTAAAGCATTGTTTGTTCTGTATATTTTTTAAAGGGGCACTGTCAGCTATGCCGTTGGTTTCGGTCATTCTCTTACTTTTCTTTAATGACACCACAACATTTCAAATAAATTAGCTTTTAAGTGACTTTTTTTTTTTTTTGTCAATTAAAAATGGCTACTTAGGATCTGGGAACTTAACATTAGTCTTCCATTTCCCAGATGAGTGAGCTGACCATCAGGCTGTTTTCCCTTGAGATGAAGGTGTTCCTGCTCTCTTTCTCTTTCCTTTTCCTTCCCACTACCTTCAGTCTTACCCTTCATGTCTTATATTTTTCCTTAATTTTCCTATCACCAAGATCTAATTTAAAGTTTTCTCTGTCCTCCTTCCTTCTCTATCCCTTTGCTTAGCGACCCAGTAATTTCTGACTCTTTTGGTTTTGGTACCTCCAGCCTACCAAGGGGTGCAAGCTTTTTTCAGGTCTTGATCATAGAAAGTTAGAGTTGGAAGGGACCTCAGGAGGTCATCTAGTCCAACCCCCTGCTCAAAGCAGGCCCAGCCCCAACTAGATCATCCCAGCCTTTGATTAACCAGGTCCTAAAAACCTCTAAGGATGGAGATTCTATACCCTCCCTGGGTAACCTGTTCTAATGGGTTTCTACCCTCCTTGTGAAAGAGTCTTTTTTTTCCCCCCCTAATATCCAATTTAAACTTCTCTTGCTGATTGTTCCTTGTTCTGTTATCTGCCACTGCTGAGAAATTATCGCCAAGCAAAAGAGCCCAGTCCCACAGAAACAGATGCCCTAGCCTGTAGCTGATAGCATACTGTCCTTACTTGTCACCTTAAAGCCCAGGTAACTGCTCATTTATTTTTGACTGCCCAGAGCCTGTTGGTATTTTTTTTCACCTTTTTCAATGGACTCCACAAGTATTTAAATAACCCCTAGTTTACAATCTTCTGTTCCTGCTCCTGTCTTCTTGTGCTGCTCCCCAAACAAAACCTCTGCAGTTTCTCTCCTTCCAGCTGTAGTACCTTTCAGGGCACTACATCTGGACTCTAATCTTTGGCCTCTCCCATCCCTTAAACATTTTCTAAACCGTTTGTTTTAGTAGTTTGCTTGACGATTCAGCCAGACCAAAGCAGTTTGTAAAATCCCTGAAGGCAAGGCAGGCACTCAGGCTTTTGATTTCTTTTAAAGTAGATAAGTCTGTAGTCCTGAATAAGCTGACAGTGTAGGTTAAGAGCCAGATTTGCCTGGATTTTTCTGTGATTGCACTGGGTGGAGGCAGAAAGCATGGGAGTCTTTTTGCACCATGCATCCTCACAAAAGGGCAGCTATAATTTGGCTGCTTGTGCAGACAACATCACAATCTGTTCAAGAGAGGATGTGTGGGTTGACATGCGATTATGGTTCTGTGTTTTCTCCAGTATTTCTCAAACTGTGCCTACCACCCCCCTACCCCCACCCCCTGCTGCCACCTCACTACATTGGAGGAACTGCCTACACCTGGAGACCTTTTACTCCTGGTTTCCATGGGTGAAATCCCTTCCTGGGCCCTTGTACCCTTCCTGGAGTGAGACTCAAGCTTTGTGAAGTATGGTATAAGAAAGCTCTCAGTTGGTATGTTAAATAACTGTATATGAACATTCTCCACAAATAAATTTGTTAAGAAATACAGGAATATTGTAAATACATGAAGACACAATAAAGACCTACAGAACTACGGTTCAGTTCTTCTACTGGAGGCAACTGACACTTTGTTGTGGCTTTTTAAATATAATTTAAATGGCTGAACTGTTTTGTGTCCAAGGAGAGCTAAAAGAAAGAGGGTTTTAAGGTAGTACTAAATTATCAAAATGGCTGTTTTACACACTGGAAACTCTGACATAGTACTTTAACTCCAGAAGCTGTGGATGACATGGCTGTACTATCTTATGAATTAAGTAACCTTATGTCCCTTCTCTTGTGACTTTGTCATGTTGAAAGGTGACAAGAGGGCACATTCTTTTGATGATAATAGCATTCCTTACTAACAAGAAAGGAATTTCTTGAAAACTGCCTATTGTTTATGAAATGGAGACCACAAGTTGTGTAATCTTTTCCTGCTGTTGTATATTTGTATATTGCCTGTGATAGTTACCTGGTCTGTAGCAGGTGCAGAGAGTACTGTACCACACCCATATTTTGCCGTTTACACTGGGGGGAAAATAAACTTAACCAAAGAAGCAGCAAATTTTTATACAGTTTGATTATTTCTGTGCCTTTCTCTCAAGAGCTTGCTCAGCAAGCAAACTCAGATTCCAGGTGCAGTATTCCACAATCATTCTGTAATCTGTAATCATAGAAACAGAATGTTCCTCCTCTTATTCCTCCATTGCCAACAGTTTCTGGGTGGGTGAATGTCAGTAGCTGAAGTTATTTTTAAAGGCAGGAGGTGAGGCTTGTCGTGCAAAGCTGGAAAGAGGGCGTTTGTTTGCAGAACAGAGCTGACATCAAAGTATAGATTGCTGCTTACTGGCTGGCCACTGCCTCATACCAGGTAATCTTTAACGTGAGTGTCAGTCACAAGATCAAAAAACCAGGGTTTGTATATATATGAAATATTACTAAAATGTATGATCTGGAAGACTTAAGTCCAATGAGTTGGACTTTGAAACTTAGCAATTCATGCTAGTCATCTTGCAGTCTGTATTCACTGCTGTTTAACTAAGCAATCACTTTTTACTTCTTTTCACAGGATAATATAAATGTTTTTTTGAAAGCTTGTGAAAGTATTGGATTGAAAGAAGCTCAGCTTTTTCATCCTGGGGATCTTCAGGATTTATCCAATCGAGTTACAGTCAAGTAAGTTTTTTTTTTTTTTTTTTTTTTTCCATTTAATATTAATGTGAGC